CTTTATCATGCCCATCTTTGCATGAAACTTTAATATCTCCAATTTTCTTGAAGGGATCTCTGGTCCTCCTTATTCTATTGTTTTCTTCTATTTCTTTGCACTGTTCCTTTAAGAAGGCATTCTTATCTCTTCTAGCTGTTCTCTAGAATTCTGCATTCAATTGGGTGTATCTTTCCCTTTCTCCCTTGCCTTTCGCTTCCCTTCTTTCCTCAGCTATTTCTAAAGCTTCCTCAGACAGCCCTGTTGCTTTCTTGCATTTCTCTTTCTTTGGGATGGTTTTAGTTGCTACCTCTTGTACAATGTTACGAACCTCCATCCACAGTTCTTCAGGCACTCTGTCTATCAGATCTAATTCCTTAAATCTATTTGTCACCTCATCCGTATATTCATCAGGGATATGATTTAGGTTATACCTGAGTGGCCTAGTGCTTTTCCCTACTTTCTTCAATTTAAGCCTAAATTTTTCCACAAGAAGCTCATGATCTGAGCCACAGTCAGCCCCTGGTCTAGTTTTCACTGACTGCATAGAGCTTCTCCATCTTTGGCTGCAGAGCACATAGCCAATCTGATTTCTGTGCTGACCGTCTGGTGATGTCCATGTGAAGTCATCTCTTGGCTTGTTGGAAAAGAGTGTTTGCTATGACCATCGTACTCTCTTGACAAAATTCTACCAGCCTGTGCCCTGCTTCATTTTGTACTCCAAGGCCAAACTTGCCTGTTATTCCGGTTATCTTTTGGCTTCCTACTTTAGGATTCCAATTCCCCATGATGAGAACATAATTTCGAATCCCCCATGATGATAAGGACATCATTTTTTTGGTGTTAATTCTAGAAGGTGTTGTAGGCCGTCATAGAACCGGTCAACTTCAGCCTCTTCAGCACCAGTGGTTGGGGCATAGACTTGGACTACTGTGATGTTGAATGGTTTGCCCTGGATTCGAACTGAGGTCATTCTGTCATTTTGGAGATTGTATCCCAGTACTGCTTTTCCTACTCTATTATTATTATTATTATTATTATTATTATTATTATTATTATATTTCTATGCCGCCCCTTGCCGAAACCTCGGGGTGGCTTACAACATGATAAAATACATTGAAATACAATAGTACATAATAAATTACCATTACATACAAAAATACAAAAAATACAATGATTTACAAATATAAAATTTTACTGACTATGAAGGCTACTCCATTTCTTCTGAGGGATTCTTGCCCACAGTAGTATACCTGATGGTCATCTGAATTAAATTCCCCCATTCCTGTCCATTTCAGTTCACTGATTCCTAAGATGTCGATGTTCAGTCTTGTCATCTCTTGTTTGACCACGTCCAGCTTGCCTTGATTCATGGATCTTACATTCCAGGTTCCTATGGAGTATAGATCTTTGCAGCATCGGACTCTCCTTTCACCACCAGATGCATCCGCAACGGAGTGTCCTTTCGGCTTTGACCCAGTCGCTTCATTCTTTCCGGCGCTACTAGTACTAGCCCTCTGCTCTTCCCCAGTAGCACACTGGACACCTTCCGACCTGAGGGGCTCATCTTCCGGCGTCATATCTTTTTGTCTCTTGGCACTGTCCATGGGGTTTTCATGGCAAAGATACTGGAGTGGGTTGCCATTTCCTTCTCCGGTGAATCACGTTTTGTCAGAGCTCTCTGCTATGGCCTGACCGTCTCGGGTGGCCCTGCACAGCATGGCTCACAGCTTCATTGAGCTATGCAAGCCCCTTTGCCTTGGCAAGGCAGTGATCCATGAAGGGGTCTTTTTTCATGGGGTTTTTCATTTTTAATTTCATGCTTGCATGCACATTATAAGCCTGGCCTTCTCCACAACCTTCCAGTTGCGTATATCGTGCTAACTGGTGTGGGCAGGGGGAATATGGAGCCCGAAGGGGCCGGGGTCGGCTTTCCTCAGGGTTCCGGGAGGGTGAAAGGAGTGGGCGGGCCGACTCCTTCCCGAGGCCCCGAACGCCTGATCTCTCCTTTGGAACTTGGATCGGTGCGAGGCCGCCTGGAAGGGTCCCGGGGCCTCTCGCTTTGGCCCCCACCCCGGCCATTAGTGGCCCTTCCGGCTCGCCCCCCCGCGGCCTCCTCCCGGCCCTTCCCACCAGCAAGGGCACCCTCGGGGCAGGACCCCTTCCGGGCAGGGGGACAGGAGCCAAGGCACATGCAGCGCCGCTCCGCAACGCGCGCGCGCTTCCTCGCGTGCTCCCGAGCCGGGGCCTGAGCCGCGGTCTTCGGCACCGGGAGCGCGCTGCGGGCGAGCCGTTTCTGCCGCGTCCAGCAGGCGGCGGCGGCGCGCTGCTTGGCGCCCGGCCCGGCCCGCGGAAGGCAGAAGCGCCTCCCGTCCCGTGCGTCCCGCCGCCCGCCCGCTCGCCCTCCAGCTGCCCGCCCGCTCGCTCGCTCGCTGGGCGGCCGGCCAGCCGGCGGGCCCTGGCTCGGGGCACGGGGGCGGGGCCGGCGGCAGCCGCCGGCATGG